TTAGACGTCTAATAAAGCATCTTATTAAATCAATTGACAACAGTCGAATTAAAGTGTCAATGTATGTACAAATTACACTTATTCAGTTTGTTATTAGATCAAACTTCTGGCGTTGAATTGGGAAGTCAATCAACGTTTATAAAGCTTTTAATAAGGAAATTGATCATATCAGAGCAAACGGTGGAATAAAGGCGCATCAATCGATCTCAATGAGCTTTTTTCAGCACATAATTCTACATCCTGTTTTATTCAGCATTGTACACTGTTATAGAGCATTTATTCAATGTGTATGCTTATTTGTGACTTTTAATTGTTTGTTGGGAAGCTCTTGTTGCATTTCCATTTACGCTTCTAAACAGCCTGCTGTTTAGTTGTGTGCAAACTTGAAAGGCGCTTAAATTCAGCCTTTTCCTGGTTGGTTATCCAATAATCACTGCACAGTTTTCTCTTGAAGCCGGGTTAAATATTGTTTACGCTTTTATTGTTGGAACAATTGATTGAGTTTATTTTGCTGTGAGAGAATCAAATTAATCGAAGTTAGTTGTAAACACACAACCGAAACCTGGAATCGAACTCTAAGCAACCGTATTGGCAAACCTTGACACTACCAACTTCGCTACGCCAACACTTTGAACTGACGTAAACAAATATACATGACTTTCTACAATAGTACCGCTGAGTAGAGGCTTTATAATAGTGCACATGAATCACTTTTCTTGACTTGTTACTTCAACTTTGTAAAGGAGCAGAGTAAAGGCTGTAAAACTGCACATGTCTAAAAATAAATCTAGATGACTGTAAAAATACTTCCAAAGTAGCTCTAATGCCTTGTTCAGACTACAGAGTCATAACAACAATCAATACGAAACTAACGATTTTAAATTGGCTCACTACTTGACTAGCCTATTGGTCCCAAGCAAACGATTAACGTACCCCATTCTAGTCGAAATTCTACTACTACACAATGTTTGTTTTGATTCGCTATGAAATTTTGACATATAAAATGAGGCGTAAGTGGATTTTCCTATGTTTCGAGGGGTGAATCGATTAGCTTGGGACCGAAGAGAGTAGCAGAGCTGAGCCAAAAAGTTGAGCACGTTATTTCGGGACCTTCTAGTCTTAGAGTTACCTCTATGGTTATAACATGTTATAGCGCTATCTTGATGGTGGTTTATGTGTTGCAATTATTTGACAACCGTTATAACATGTTATAACTGCTCAGTCTGGCCAGCTTTTAACACAGTTGATTAGCTGAGTACAGGTTGTTTAGTAGTTGAAAAATCATTTTTGATGTTTATGTTATTCAGCAAAAGTGGTTGGTTGTGTAGATGCCATCAAATGAGTAATATATTCACTTTGTTAGCTTTGTTTTGCTGCTACAAGTTGAAACATGATTAATATTTGCATAGCCGATTTCAAGTCCCGTCCCAGGACTAGCCTATTGTTCCCAAGCAAATCGATTAACGTACTCCATTCTAGTCGAAATTCTAGTACTACACTATGTTTGTTTTGATTCGCTATGAAAGTTTAACAGATAAAATGAGGGGTTCGTGGATTTTCCTATGTTTCGAGCGGTGCATCGATTAGCTTGAGACCGAAGATAGCACCAGAGCGGAGCTAAAAAGTTGAGCACATTTCTTCGGGACCTTCTGGTCTTAGAGTTCAGATCAGAGTTCATTGTAGAGATACCAAATAACTATTTTCTTGGACTCACAACCATCAGCCTACCTTCATCGAACGTATGTGCTGGCCTCGAATCTTCTAATAATTCCTAAGAAATTACAACATACATACACTCAAAAATTTATCACATAGACACTTAAATTTTTTCGCTGAGATTCCAACAGCCGAGTAGTTCTGCAATTTATTTAGCTGAGATTCATTAAAACAATTGCCGATACTCAGCTAACAAATAATGTTTCGCTGAGAAATCAGCTTACAAACAGATATTTTGCAGAGATATCATCATAAGCAAATGCCGAGGTAATCGGCTGTTGGAGATTTTACCGACCTAGAATAAGTGTGTGGTAATGGTAATGGATGAAATCCATGTGGATTTCACATAGCTTTCCTGTGATCACATAGCTGCAAATCCCGCCACAAAATCACATGAATATTAGGAGGCCGATGAAATTCATATGAAAAATCATACTAAATTCATGTGATCACATTAATGTTATGTGAAATTCAGATGATTTCCATTATTTTTGATTATGGATGAAAATCATATGCGTTTCCAATGGAAGCTATAGCTACACTCATAAAATAAATCACATAACCAGTGGAAAATATCCATGTGAATTTCACATAACTTTCATGTGATCCCATAATTGGAAATTTCACCACTAAATCATATGAACTTTATGTGTCCAATGAAATCTATATGATTTCTCATATAGAATTTCTTATGCTTTGTGATATTCAGATAAAAATCATTATTTTTGTTATTGGAAAAATATTATGTGCGTTCCTAATAGAAGCTAAGTGAAAACTTTTTTCAGTGTAAATATATGAAAACTATTTTCGGTGTATTGACAAATCCATGTTTCAATCGACCACCGTGACGCTCAATGGATCATTGAAGATGCTGAGGTTTTGACAGCACCGTTCTGTGGCTACCACAGTATTTTACATTGGTTCGTCCTAGAGTCGGTGTATTAGGTTTTGCACCGTCGGGGTTAACCTCAATCTGATGACAGTTTAGTGGTACTGTTTACGTGGACTTAGTCGTTTTTTTCTTGGGTAGATTTTCTCGATAATTTTTCAGACTGCACTGAGATGTAAACCACACTTCTGCAATGTTCACGAGCAACATCCTTGCAATGCGCTGTTCCTCGACAATTTTCAAGTTAAAATTCGGAAATTTTAGAATATACTTTTTCGAAAAAACGACTAAGTGCTTGTAAACAGTACCACTGAACTGTCAAAAAGGTTCAGCCGATTAACACTGAGTTCATTCGTGACGTCACGCTGCAGAACCTAATAATGAGTCACGCCAAGAGAAAAACAGTTGAACTCGCATCACGGTTTTCGAAAGATTCCCTTTCTTTTCATTTGGCAACAGAGGACTTCTACACTGTACACAAACATCATCCTCTGATCGAATGAAACATCAGACCATTCAAAATAAAACACCGAAATCACTTTTTCGAATGATAGCTGCAACCGGATGACGGTTGTTTTGAAATCAGATGATTTTCCTCTCGAATACTGGATGAAACTTGTTATGAGAAGGGATAAGGCCTTCAGTTGAAATGCGTAATGCTCTCTGCAGAATGACTGTCATACTAAATGGAAATGCATATGGTATTGGTTCAGCCCCATAACGCAACCCGCATAAGCGCGAACCATAAATTGACCTTACCTAAAATGGTTATAAATTGTTTATAATCCCTGCTAAACTTCAACTGAAATGGTTATGGAACTTTACATGAACGTTTAATGATAAAGTTTTAACCTTAAGTATTATGGTTTTTTGGAAGCGAACCTTACAAATAATGGGTTGTTAAGAACCATTACCATTCAAAATTCTTGTTTTCTCCATACATTTTCGGAAAGAAAACTATACTAAAACCTTTTAACTTATGGTTTGAGAACATTAATGGTAATGGTTATGGTAACCAGTAAGGTCCATGAATGGTTTTGTAACATCGATCAACTTTATGTGGAATATATCGTGAATTGGTTGCCTGTAAATTACTGATTACCAATTCACGATATATTTCACGTAAAGTTGAGCGATAATACAAAACCATTAATGGACCTTACTGACTACCATAACCATAACCATTAATATTCTCAAACCATAAGTAAAAACGTTCTAATATAGTTCTCTTTCCGATAATGTATGGAGAAAACAAGAATTTGGAATGGTAATGGTTCTTAACAACCCATTATTTGTAAGGTTCGCTTCCAAAAAACCATAATACATAAGGTTAAAACTTTATCACACAAACGTTCATGTAAAGTTCCATAACCATTTCAGTTGAAGTTTAGCAGGGATTATAAACAATTTATAACCATTATCGGTAAGGTCATGTGATGGTTCGCGTTTATGCGGGAAATCATTCAAAACGATGATGTAAATAATTCTATCGAACGTCATTTGCTGATCTGAGCTGACAAACGAGGTGGAAGCATATGCATCGCTATCAGAGCTGTTACGAGTAAAGGTAAAGGATGAAAACCAATGTTTGGCTAATTCGTGGTGGAGGAGGTTTTCTCCACCACGAATTTTTTTTTGTATACATGAAGGAATGGCTTATTATGGCTATTCAGTGTGGAATTGTACATAATCAAATCATAAATCTAATTAAAAGTACTTGCATGTCACACTATTCTTAAATGTTTGTCCTCTGAGTACCGTATGTTGTATAGCTAATTTTCAAACGAAAATCATCCTGTATTTGGATGACAGTCATATGGATGTTCATCATCTGACGACGAATTCAACCATAAGAAAATCATCCGAAATCCGAATGCATATTGTTAAAGGGCTCGAGCAATGCAATAATCATTCGAAGTATTGCGGATGTTTTGGTTCAGTGTACATCAACTTCAAATGACTTCTAGCGAGAAAAAAAATAGCGGTTGTAGAAAATCATTATATCAGTGATTTTGTCAAATTATCTTAACAAGAAATAGTAGAAACTCTCATTACTGATCATTACCAAACATATCCCATGACAATTTAATGCTTACTGCATCATGAGTATTTTTAATAAGCTATAGGTACTCCCTTAGCGCAGTCGAAAAAGGCTTTTATCTAGATGAACGTGTCATTGGGACGGTACTAATGGATATTTTTGATCGCTATTCAAAATTTAGTCGATTGCTGAATTTATGTATAGGACCAAATTAGGGGAATTTAGGCCGACATTACATCCATTTCCCCTACATGGTATTCACACTTTTTCGAAAAAAAAAACAATATGTTGGTAGTAAGTTAAACATAGACTATATATATTTCATATTATTCCAAATGCTCTACAAGTACAGACTATCATGAAATTTAATGTAATGTACATTTTAGAATTTTTGTTAAGCAGCATTGCTCTTCTGCTCATCGTAATAAATTTTGTTCGAAAAGCCGACCACTGTAAGTTTGTGCATGCTATTTAACCCCAGTAGATTTTCCATATCCTGCAGCACCTTGGACGTTTTCCGTTTGAGGTGGCTTAGCGTCTGCACAACCTCCTGATTGTCTTCCTTGTTGATCAAACCGTTCGTTTCGCCCAGCTGCCCTTGCAGATGATCCAACTCATCTTTGAATCCGTACATCTTCTGGAACACATCCTTCGCCAGTAGCTTGGAAAACTCGAAAGTGATACTTTGGTCCAGCAGTTCCATCAGCTGGGCAAGTTTTGCTTGATATGAATCGGTCAACTGATCGAATTCCTTCGAGAGCGAGCTGCAGATGTTCAGCCGATGGAGGATACCTTGTTCCAGCAGTTCCAACCGTTGCAGTCTGTTGGTGTAGTTCGCTATCTGCCGGGCGTAATTTTCCCCTTCACTCTCCAACTCTTTCAGGATGGCGGTTTTTGTTTTGTTCAACTCTTCCTGGACGGTTACTCCGAACAGTTCGTCTGCCAAGTCGACGGACTCCGAAATTAGAGCACGAATGTCCTCGTCAACTTCGTCGGATTCGAAGCTCATTGTATTACCGGGTTATTAATTATGTTATTGACGTAAAATATTAATTTGTTCCGTTTGTCCTAACAAATACAACTGATACTGTAGAGAGCTTTGTATTTTTATTTTGAATGTTAGTTCTGAACTTCACCGCATGATGGTGAAAGTAGGTTCTAAATACGGCCACCAGAATGGACGAAAAACGTCAAATGGGCATAGTAGTTGGCGATACGTTAATAAACCTCGATTATTTTTTTAAACCGAGCTACATGCAAATCTGTGACCACTCTTTAGCTGTTATATTTTAACAACAATTTCAATAATAAAAACAAACATGCTTAAAAAATAAATTTCATTGCGGGAAACTTCGAAAATAGACATACAAATATTCCAATAAATCGATTCGACATCGCCCAATACTACGACGACAGAAGCGTGCTTGCTCGCGGCAGTGCATTCGTTTGTTTACAAACACGTTCAAAGATACGCATCGTGATTGGATTTCAATTTAACCAGTGTTCTAGAAGTGTTCCAAGCGGGAAATGGCATCCAACGTAATGATACGATTGGCCTCCGATCGAGCAAATTTATCGTTGCTGTCCGGGGACAGTAATCCGCGTCTTTTTACGCCGGGAGAAGTTATCACATCCCAGCAAGGGTACATGCGGTTAGTACACTGTTAAATCGATTTAAACGATACCATTGTAGATATGATTTTGAAATTTCAGTGGCCATGGAACTTACATGGAAGACGAGGACATCAAATCATCCGTGGCCGGTGTTATGGTGCAGGTGAACAAACTCATCACCGTTAAACCATTGAAGGGGCGCTATGTGGGAGAAATCGGTGATGTGATAGTGGCTCGGGTCACCGACGTACAGCAAAAGCGTTGGAAAGTAGACACCAACTCACGATTGGATTCCATTCTGTTGCTATCCTCTGTCAATCTTCCTGGTGGAGAACTACGCAGAAGGGGCGTGGAAGATGAGCAACAGATGCGAAAATATCTCCAGGAGGGAGACCTTATTTCCGCTGAAGTTCAAAACGTACATTCGGATGGAGTGCTTTCGCTGCATACACGGAGTTTGAAGTACGGAAAACTAGCACAGGGAATACTGGTGAAAGTGTTTCCTTCGTTGATCAAACGTAGAAAAACTCATTTTCATAATCTACCATGCGGAGCCTCGATCATTCTGGGGAATAACGGTTTTATTTGGATATCACCAATCGTCAATACGGAAGGCGATGGTAAATAATTAAAACAGGAAAATGTTTAGGATAAACAATCTAACAAAAAGTTAACTTTTTCCCGCAGAGAGTGGTGGATTTACACAAAACCTAGAGGAGTCCATTTCGAAACAGGATAGAGAGGTGATTTCACGGCTAAGGAACTGCATTCTGGCTTTGGCAAACTGCAAAATGTTGCTGTACGATACGAGCATATTGTATGCTTACGAGGAATCGCTCAAGTATGAAGTCCATGAGCTGCTCCATCAGGAAGCCATGTTTGATGTTGCCTTCTTGACTCAGCATAAGCTGAGGTTGCAGGAATAATATAGTAAAAATGTTGAAAAATAAAAAAAAATAAATGATTTATACGATTATCACTACGAGGGTGGTTTAAATTATTCAATTTGCTTACAAAACGCAATCGATTTCGAAACAAGTCCTAATAATTTTTCCTAAATTTATTATTATTATTTAACTTTATTAATGAGGCTTTCAGCCTTGGGCTGGTTCGCCTCCATTCCTAAATTTAGCTCATTCGTCTCGCTACACATTTTCAATCCAGGACACGAGGAATTCGTGAGTTTCGCGTATTTTAATCTCAGATTTTGGGTGTGGTGCGGAATAAGCGTGGATTGGTTCCACTAAGTTTGTAGAGCTTTTGTAATTCCTGTTTTTAAACAAATCAAATAGAGACATTCTTGAAGTAATTTTTTTTTTGTAAGGCGTTTTCAAAAATATAAATTAGGGTGAATGACTTCAATTTATTGCAGCTACTAGTTAGCACACGCGAGCAATATTACCATCAGGTAGAAGAAAATTTCAATTAGAAGTCACTCTCAAATTTTAAATCATTGAAAATGGGCCTTTAGCGGATTATTGCAGACTTGGTTAGATCTTTTTATCTATTTTTGTCTATTTGTACTTCGTTTCCGTGAATCCATGTGTGAGGTTTGTCATGTGACCATGATTTGAGTTATTGTATATTAATGTTGTTTGCCTTTATTATGAACTTCTCTGGATGCTCGAATGTTGATGCGGCATCGCAGTTTTAATCAACCGTGTGCAATTATTGTATATGTTACGATCCAGTGACAAGTTGGTGTAGTTTTGATTACTTTACTTTACAGTAACTTGAGTGGGACGGATTCGTTTTAGATGTAGGGAGCTCGGTGGCCTAATTTTAGCCGTTTTTTTCATACTGGGCAGAGAATCGTGGGATCAGTCCCAACCTCCGTTATAACATGAACATGATTTAAAAAATCGTTTACCAAGCCGAATCCTCACCTACCCTGATCCCTGTCTGTGATGCTCGTGGAAGTGCAGAGGACTTCTCGGCTTCAAATAAAGCGAATATCACGCCAACAACCTTTCCTCTTCCTAATTGACATACATTCGGACGTGGTCGATGGTCCCCGGTTCATGAGTTTATGGGTCGATAGGTAGAGTCCAGGTGTGGGAGCTGCCTCCCTGGCGTCGGTAGCATTGGTGCTCAGCACGGAAAATAAGATCGACGGAAAACAAATCAAGGAAAAAAACAAAAACGGCATTTGCACATTAAAGATGACTGCTACTCCCAAGCACACTCTGTTGATTATCTGTGCAACTATAGCTGATCTTTACAATAAAGGAGTAGCAACCACGGTTGGTCTAACAAGGTTACATGCTATGTTCTAATGGTTATTTTGCGGGTTATGGTGTCTAATGTTATTTTGGAATTCTAGGTAGAGCTAGAATTAGGGCGTAACAGCCTTAGTAAACAATTACTTCTCTTGTTGATTTATTGGAATTCAAGACACGCCTACACAAACCAACATATCCAACGGGTAGGAGAAGTCTTCCTCTACTCGATGGTGATGTCCATCTGCCAGGGCGAGCCATGACTTCCGAGAAATCATCAAGAGAAGTCATTGTTTACAAAAGCTGTTACGCCCTAATTCCAGCTCTATCTAGAATTTTCAATCCATTTTGAAGTTTTTAAGGTTACCGTTAATAGTAACCCTACGACCATCAGAAAAGCGAGTTTCTAGTGGTAGCCTTAATTTGTGTTTTGTTTTGATTCTGCGTTCCGTTTCGCTTCGTTACATCAGTGCCAACATTTCAAAGGGGCGTAATTGCATTTGTAAACAATGGCTTTAGCCATCGATTTCTCGCGAATAAAAGCTCACTCATAAAAATTTATGACATCAACAAGTAGATGAATGTTTCCTCTACTAGCTAGCATTGTTAACTTGGAGGAGTGAGCATTTATTTTCGAGAAATCGACGTCTGAAGCCATTGTTTACAAAAGCAATTACGCCCCTTTGAAATGTTGACACTGACATTTCGTTATTCCATTCCATGTGCTAAATGACGTTTGAGCAATTTTCAGTATGCACGGCGTGCAGAATAACGGGTTCAATGTGAAAAAAAAAATCAAATTAAAAACGGTAAGATTACCTGTGGTCCACGGTATTTTGAATTATAAGATTGGGGTATCAAGATTCCTCATCTTTTAAATTTCGGTGCTTTTTATCATTTTAAGGCCAGTTTGGGCTTGCTTAGCTAGCGATTAAATCCCGTTGATTTGCCTTTAAAAATAACTATTTTTACACATGATGTAATTCATCATGGCATATAAACAAACATGTCATGTCAAATTAAGTGTTCTGCAACCAAAACATGTTCAACTTCACGAAAAGTGTGTTTGATTGAATAACAATTCTCGTTTCGTTTAACATCTTATGTCATAAGAGCTCAGCTAATATAATACTCCGAAGCCCTACAATAGCTTTATACTGCAATGCGACGATTTGGTGGGCTTGTTAGTTATCTATGTATTTAATGTTTTTAATGTTACTACACACAAAAAATTATCGTTAGTAAAATTGAAAAATCCATTGGTAGAATTAAAAGTTTCCGTTGGTTCTTTTTGGTAGAAAGTCTTTAGCTTTCAAAACAAAAGTCAGCTAACTGTTAATTCAAAAGTAACTCGTTTTTTACTTTTAAAAGTTGAAACTTTCAAATCGAATTGTAGAACTGTCAATATGAAAACCTATTTTTTTAAATAGACTTATGAAAGGATTTAATTTAAAAGATGGGCAGTTTTATCGCAATGATTTATGTTTTCATTTCAAATATGAATTCTTTTTAATTCAGTTGCTTTTTACTTTGAAAGAAATAAAGCATAGAAATATTTAATTTGATATATTTTAGTTTATTTATATGATGCTGACTGAAAGGGCACGGCATTATGGAACTTCAAAGCATGGGAAGCGTATTACGCAAATATACAGTTGGCTGAACAGCTGGTGATGGTGATGGTGGGAGTAGCCTTCCTTTCCGGCAATTCTGACGAGGCTGCTGAAAATCAAAACACATCAATTAGGAAAATCGGAACCAAGCAAACTCTTCGAAAATTTCATCATCTTACCTCCAAATCCCGCAGCTGGAGGATCCTTCCAATCCTTCCACTTCATAGCGTCACCACGAATGTCTCCATCTTATTATTTGTATCTTACAGAAGGGAAACAAGCGCACCGGTGGATGAAAATGTGGAAAAGTTCAAGAAACTGCTGCTGCTCATGCTAATTCTCATAGCTGGTTTTGTTTGTTTGTTTCGCATGTCCAATTTGGCGGGAAACACAGGTCCAGTACTGTCAAACACATCGCAAGGAAGAGATTTTTTGACAATTTTACAACTTTTATTCTAAAAAATAGACTTTTAAAATTACAAGCCGAAAGTGAAAGAAACACTTTTAAATCAAAAAAATTATTTTACATTTGAAAAATTTCATAGTTGAAACTACGAAATTTGGGAAACTTTTAATTTGATCATGCATTATTCTTAAAACAACAATTTTTGTTTTTTGTGTGTACCAGGGGTTGAAACAGTTGACTCATGCTCTACCATGCTACCATCGTCTCTCTCACAAAACACAAACGGTAGAATACCATTAGAGCAAAAATAAAATCCGACAGTGAGCATGCATAAGGGCGTATATGCGATGATCGATTCTCTTCATCGATTTTCTCTTTGCATTGCTGCAACTAAGTGAAACAATTTTCTAGAATTTGTTCAATGCAGAGTTTTAACAGGTTGTATTGGCTATCAAAAGCAACAGCAAACGCACCGAGAATCGTTAAATCTAGTGAGCTATTAACAAAAGAGAAAATCGACGAAGAGAATCGATCATCGCGTTTACGCCCTCATGGCCCTCATGCATGCTCACTGTCGAATTATCAAATAACTATCATATGACATGTGTGATTGCGTTCTAATTTCTCAAGTTGGTGTAAATTAAACTATTTCTGATCAGAAATGTTATAACTAGGACATCATTGCTTGCTATTTTCAGAATTCACATAAGCACAACATCAGCAGCTCTTATTATGAGAAAAACTAAAACCGTCACTACATTCGTGACGGTCTTCGGCGGCAGTGTCATAAAGGGTGATACGGTCAAAATTTGGTCAATATCAACTTAACGTATTTCTTTCAATTTTGCATTTAAAAAACCTGAACACCCCTCATTTTGAAGGTGTGTGTGTGTAGAATGTTGCTCCTATTTTGATTTTGGAATTCACTCTTCAGTTGTCAAAATGCCGTCCAAGCAAGAAGAGCAGCGTATCAAAATTTTGCTCGCGCATCGCGAAAATCCGAGCTACTCGCACGCAAAGTTGGCAAAATCGCTAAAAGTTGCCAAATCAACCGTTACAAATGTAATTAAAGTGTTTGGGGAACGTTTGTCGACAGCCAGGAAGTCTGGATCGGGGGGAAATCGAAAACCGGAAGCCGCTGAGACGACAAAGAGAGTTGCCGGTAGTTTCAAGCGAAACCCTAACCTCTCTCTCCGAGATGCCGCAAATAAGCTGGGTGTATCGTCTACAACCGTGCATCGAGCCAAAAAACGAGCCGGACTATCGACTTACAAGAAGGTAGTGACTCCAAATCGCGATGATAAACAAAATACGACGGCCAAAGCGCGATCCCGGAGGCTGTACACGACGATGCTGACGAAGTTTGACTGCGTGGTAATGGACGACGAAACCTACGTCAAAGCCGACTACAAGCAGCTTCCGGGACAGGAGTTTTATACGGCAAAAGGAAGGGGAAAGGTAGCAGATGTTTTCAAGCACATGAAACTGTCAAAGTTCGCAAAGAAATATCTGGTTTGGCAAGCCATCTGTACCTGTGGCTTGAAAAGCAGCATTTTCATAGCTTCCGGGACTGTCAACCAAGAAATTTACGTGAAAGAGTGTTTGAATAAACGTCTGCTGCCTTTCCTGAAGAAACACGGTTGTTCCGTACTGTTTTGGCCGGATTTGGCATCTTGCCATTACGGTAAAAAGGCCATGGAGTGGTACGCCGCCAACAACGTGCAGGTGGTTCCCAAGGACAAGAACCCTCCCAACACGCCAGAGCTCCGCCCAATTGAGAAATACTGGGCTATTGTCAAGCGGAACCTAAAGAAGACCAAAAAAACTGCTAAGGGCGAGCAGCAGTTCAAGGCAAACTGGCTTTCTGCGGCGAAGAAGGTGGACAAGGTGGCTGTACAAAATCTGATGGCAGGGGTCAAGCGTAAGGCCCGGCAATTCGGATTTGGAAAAGCGGAAGCCTAACTGAATATTTTTCCTGAATTTTATACTAATTGAACTTGAAAAAGAAATTTAATTTGATTTTTTTAATAAACGATTTCACCGATTTACACGCGTTTTCCCTTGACCAAATTTTGACCGTATCACCCTTTATGACAGACAAGCTTGCAAATGCTCATTACAGCTAAAATGCTATTTTTCGGATGTATAAAGCTATGAAATATTTTAATGATAATTATAATTTACAAGATGTAAGTAGAGCAGGTAAAATGTGAGTATGACACATAAATCCTGTCAATTTAGCTTTTAGAGGGTCACAATAGCTATTAACTGTAACGATGAGCAACGCGATGAGCGAGCAATCAGCGATCCTAAAATCTCTAGTTGTGACCTGCCGAAAGCAAAATTGTCAAATTTTTATGTGTCATGTCATACACAAACTTTATCAAATATTCTTGCTTCTTACAAATAAAAAAAACATTATAGTGTCTCATAGTTTCATAATTACGAAAAATAGCGTTTTAGCTGTAATGAGCAATTGCATGCCTGATGACAGAGCCTGTCATATGACATTTTAGTTTGGTACTGTACTATACTATAGCTTGTTTTGCAAATTTCGGAGGCAAAGGCAGTCGATTATCACAGAAAATGTGTCGACTACCGTGACCGCTTACAAGCCTGGTTACTTCAGTAATGACCCGATTTTGTCAGCCCCCTTTTTGAAAATCTTTTCTAATATTCTACGAAACCCATGCGCTTTTTCAGTGGTTTCATTGTATACCTTAAACATCCTTCTTGAAGATGAATGAGAAAGATTTGACATTACTGTATAGCGTTTTTTTTTTTGTTTTAAGACAACTTTCGCGCTATTTAAGTCATTTTGGCATTTTAGCACCATTTGTCTTAGGGTTTCAGGCCATTTTGTGAGTTTCATTTGGTGTTTTTTTAAGCATATTAACTCTCTTGAACATTACCATTATCCACTTTGAAGTTTTCTTAACGACATTTTGGTGATTGTATGCAATTTGTAAGGTTATTTTGTATTTTGTAAGGTTATTTTGGTCTTACAATAGTGGTGTTTGGACAAATTTGTTTTGAAACTCAAAGAGATGGAAGGTATTTCAGATCATCAATTTTAACTTAAAAATGTACTTGACATTTTTTTGTAAATAAATTAACTAAACAACCAAACTTTCCATTCCCACCGCATCGCATCAAAGGTTTGCTCCCTTGCACGAAAGCTTGTAGCTTGTACGACAGCTGAACATGCCTACCTCTGGTTGACACGATACGACGTCTAAGTACCAACGAGTTTAGCTCTTATCACTAGGTACGTAGAAATTATGAAGGGACGCCTTGTTGGTGTGCGTTTCGTCCGGGTGCATGTTTACGAATGTGCGCTTGAAAGCAAAAAGTCCACAGAAAAGCTATAAACCGCTACTTATCAGCATCGCTGCCGTAATACATAGAGGATAGGGGTACATGTCCCTTCGGTAGCAGTAGCTGTCAAGATCAGTTTTGTCCTTGTTGCTTTCGTGACGCACGGCAGCGGTTACAATGTGTATAAATGGTGGTTAAGCGCAAACGTGAGCAAACTCTCTAAAGAACAGCCAGACGAAGCCATCAGAGGTGCGAGGGAGTGTTTCTTCGCAGGAAAGAAAATTGTCTTGTGTAAATTTGTTAATTTTGGTAGGTTTTCATTGGAAATTTTCTGTTACCGAGTGCCAAAATGGAAGGTGTGCTAATATTTGATCAGAATAATGATTTGATATATCAAAACTTTAACGATGCAATGCGTGCCAAAATGTGCAAACATGCAATCGATCTTGGGTTGATGGAGAACGAAAAAAGGGTAAGTAAACACAATGAATGAGTGATGGACGTGTTTGAACACAACTGTTAGTAAGTGTTTATTTTCGATTTTAGGATCCGCGGAAGGATCTAGACAACAATGTATTGATTCAAATCTTCAGCCCTTTGGTAGCCTCCCAGAGAATTATGATGTGCCAATTTGATAATGCTTATACGTCGGTGCAGATGGAGAGCAACTTGAACTTAGTCTTCGATGAGGTAAGACCAAGGTTTAGAAGCCTTAAAAGTGTAGAACGCATGTGGCTGCCGTCGTCTTAGGGAATTTGGAATTGAGGTAGTTGTTGGTGGTTTTGTGTTTTGTTTTCGAACCAGAACCGGATTGCTCTGGAAGTGCAATGTGGGCTGAATACACACTTTCATTTGATAATCGAAATGTCTACAACGTGTGTAGACTCTACTGGAGATAATAATATTTGCCGTGTACTTGTATTTAAGGTAGCATTTCTGTGGTTAATTTTGACGTGAGATATCCAGTTTCAATTGTTTCTGCGTAGTAAATACTTATGCTTGGTTCACATAGAATCTCATTTCATCAAATTGTCTGCCTCCAGATTGGTTTGACATCTTCTTCGTCTTGGTCACTATGGGGCGATTTAAATATGACATCCATATTTTTTCAATTTTTTTACCTCACCTTCCCCCCTTCGTGTCACCAGGGTGACCACTGAAGTTCCTTTATAAAATTCCCGCATCTTTCTCGAGTTTTCCTATAAATCTCAATTATTTCTCGATTAAAGAAGTGAACAGGTGTAAACATTCTTCTGGTCGACATTTGTAAAACATAAGTTGCAACGGACTATTTTTGCTTAAAGCAGAAAGTACATCTCAACTAAATAGTTCGCTTGATATATTCAATTACAACCACTTGGTCATTTCTATACAGTACTATACCTGAATTCTAAGCCATGTTTAAAAGATACAAATGTAAATTAAATATTCGCTAGGGATACATAATAGAAAATTGATTTTAAATATTGCTGCGAATACTCAGTAATGAACAAATGATAAAATCAAAAATTAATCTATTAATCTATTAAGAATATTATAAAATTCTCGAGGAATTTTAACCTATATATTTTGCTTCATATTTTTAGAGTCTCTGAATATCTCTGTTTTTCCCGGTTTTCCAGATTTAAATCTCAAAAATTTGCCGCGAAACGAAACTATTCGGGTCATTGATGTATACTCAAATTGCAACCAAGTTTAGTGCAACTTGTTTCAAATTTTTGCACTCAGTCTAAATCAGGACAAAATCGAAAAAATGAAAATCGCGTGTAAAACATAATTGATATTCTAGAATATACCGTAGAACCCCCTTAGTTTGAGTGGCTAATTAAGCCGGTAACCGCGAGTCAGTCCCATCTGCATTTAGCAAATTTGAGTTAGAATCATTGTTGCTAAATTAGACGCTGAAAACAAACCCTCAATTTTTTTTCCGCTCAGACAAAAATAAATAAAAATGATTAATTTTTAAAGATCTAATACCACTAGGATGACAATATTATATCTTGAGAATGGTATTTTTTATGTCTACTGGCATGAGTGAAACAAATATCTGAGGGATCATTTTAAGCGCTGGAACAGCGAATCGAAATGCATAACGCGACCAAAGATAAAGGCAATACGCTTGCTACTACTACCGCGATAAAATCTTTGTTTTTAATATAGCTTGATCGGAGTTGTAGAAGAATTATGATATATTGCTTGCCTGCTTTGTTGCAATATACACGGTTTAGGGCATAGCTTGATCGGAATCGAGAAAGACATAACAACAGCTTGTCATCAATTTGGTCGTTTCCTTCTACCGGCCCGAGCGAGCTTAAGGCAGTTTGTCATTTTGAGATGTTTTTGATTACTTGCGCTTAGTTTGGTGCTTAATGTGCAATATTCAGATTATATTTTTATACCTTTTAAGATATGCTAAAAAAAGCAAGTTGGTTTAAGAAAATTCAAAACCAATATCAAGTCAAATGCCATAATGAAAAGTAACCGCAAGTCAGTCTCATGAAATAATAATAATAATTTCATAAAATAGTTCACAAAACTATGTTTTTAGGCTTGTTTATTAAGTAATAAGGATGGTTGTTAACATTTGGTAAAAAAAACATTTCCGCTAAGCGTATTTGAAGCTTTTCTATAAATTTACTTCTGTTCTGGCAAAGCAGTCCAGTACGATTTACCTTAGAAAGTTTGTTTACAAATGCTTTTGTGCCGTTATCAAATGTTATGCCTGATATAATTCATTGATTCGCTTCCATCGACAGTATTGCCAATCAATACGAAACTAACGATTTTAAACTGGCTCACTACTTGACTAGCATATTGGTCCCAAGTAAACGACTAACGTACTCCATTCTAGTCGGAATTCTAGTACTACACTATGTTTGTTTTGATTAGCTATGAAAGTTTGACAAATAAAATTAGAGGTTCGTGGTTTTTCCTATGTTTCGAGGGGTGATTCGATTAGCTTGAGACCGAAAAGAGTAGTAGAGCTGAGCCAAAAAGATGAGCACGTTTCTTCGGGACCTTCTAGTCTTAGAGTTACCTCTATGGTATTGCTGTGTTAAGAGAGCTCGAAACTTCCTCCATTGAAAATAATATAAAGTCTGTTCTAGTTAGTATTTGGCCGCTTCTTGTTTAATTACTGTAGCGCCTCTAGTTGTCGCAGTAAAAAACTATTGACAGCGTTTTGATCCGGAAGGATTGTTTATTAAGTAGTGAAAATTTCATAAGGATTCATATATTTGTTCAAAAGTTATCGATTTTACTAGTTTAGGCAAATTCAATAGTTTTATGCACTAGTAGTAGCTAAGTTATTCAGTCGAGTTAAATAAGCCCGGCACTTCCCTAATCGTCTACAATGGCTTTAGAGCTGTGTGTAACGATGACTATCGATTCAACAATTGTTTTGACGTTCCTTCTCATGGCTTGTCACTTGTCATCCATGACAGATCGATCGGATGCGGCCTGCTGGAAACCGTGTCGATCTACAAAAGCAGCGTCGCTGCATCGAGGGGTGTTGTCGTCACATACCCCGCCCATAAAGCTAGGTGTTGTTTCAGATTTGCTGGAGGCTCCATAGGTTTACACAATTCTCCGACGTCTAACGCTTGGCGAACTCTTCCATCACGTCCTTTGATGACTTTCTCCACCCGTACACGATCCATTGGCTTCCCCCAGTCCCATTCACCACAAGGGGCCTCCCTTAGCTCAGTCGGTAAAGGCGCAGCTACAAAGCAAGACCATGCTGGAGGTGACTGGGTTCGATTCCCGGTCCGGTCTAGGAATTTTTCGGGTTGGAAAATTTCTCGACCCCCTGGGCATAGAGTATGATTGTACTTGCCACACAATTATACTAATGCAAAAATGGTAGCAGGCATCGAAAGCTCTCAATTAATAACTGTGGAAGTGCATCTAGAACACTAAGTTGAGAGCACGCAATAAGCTAATATGCCATAAGCAATAAGCTTGAAATGCGAAGAAGAAGAAGATTCACCACAAGGACTAGATTGGTCAGCCAAGCAGGCCTGGAAACAGTGTCGATCTACAGAAGCAGCATCGCTGCATCGAGGGGTGTTGTCGTCACAACGGCAGTAGAAATTGTAACTGACCTTAGGAACGTTTTCTGTTCTGAGATAGTACTATCCCAAGTAACATTTTAAGTTTTATGAAATACTACAAAGCAACTATAAAACAACATTCATAAACTCTGGTCAAGGCAGGTTTGGTCATTAATGCATCCACCAAAATCTCATTAAGACTAGAATATGTCTAGTTGGCCCACCCTGGAGAAGGTTCTCAAGGGTGTATTCTCGAAGCTCTTGAAGATTGATTTACTGCAAAAGGTTGTATGACAAACGCATTGAGAACCATTTGAAAGCAACAACAAAAGCTATTTAGCAACAATAAAAACCCTTTCCGAACCATTTCCCCTAGCCGCTTGCTAAATCCACTAGGAAAGCATTAATCAAGATAGAAAAGGATTTATGAATCCGATCTTATCAAAATAATTAAAATAGAAACTGATGGTATAAAAATCTTTTTCAATATTCAAATTTATTACAATAGTTCTCATTAAGTGGCCTAGTTCTAAGTGTCTTATTAATTACGTCCGCCCTCGTAAAACGTTGATTTGACTAATTATTTAACATTGAAATAAAAAAACATATTCCTACCTCGATCTGAGGCCGAGATTTTTTTATGATTTTCGCATTCAAATGTTTGCTCATTGCTAAATTTACATAGTAATATCCAAGGAACTATAGATTGAAAATCGAAGATTGTAAAAAACAGGCAAACTAATTGTAACATGGCGGATGCATAAAAGTTGATTTTCATGGGTCATTTGCGAGGGGTGCGACACATCTAAATCTCGATATTAAATAATCGAAGAATCTCACACTAGCGAATCAACCTACGAAAAATCTTTTTTTATTTCTTGTATCTAAACCCATCTACTCGCTTTGTTTTCCACCTTTTTGCAGGAAATCTTAAAAATCGCAATCAATCGTGTTTCTATCTATTCAGCGCGAGTGCATCTCACAACAGCAAATCAAAAAATTTCCTGCATCTTAGATAGAGTCGCTCCCCTCGGTCATTTGTGAAAAAGTTGTTTTGCTTTCAAGAAATCCTGAACAAATTCATAAGGTTTTAAAATAGCTTTTATGAAGAAAGCTTGCAGCCTGAATTGTATTTATCTAAGCCATTTAGCTTGATCCTAACCCGTTCAGATTTATGGCAGCATTTATGGAGGCAAAGTTGCCTGCAAAAAGTTAAACGTCAAAGTTTGTTTATCTTTCGATATTTAGTTGCGCTGTGCGATCCAGGGTTCTTCCAGGCAGTTTTTTCCCAATGGATTGGGAGCAGTTACTCAGATAGTTTGCGATACTGTTTTGCAACATTTCGCATTTCGAGCCGAAAAAGATCCCCTTCTTCCGGATGGTTACAGAAGTGCACCATCCAACGATGCAGGGATGTATGCTTGAATGAAATTTTTGAAGAGTTGATTATTTCGCCGAATAAAATCGCTGCTATGGATCGGAAACCAGCTAATCTCCGCTAACTAACAGTTTCAGTGGTTTGCTGTTGGTTGTTATTTCGATTGTCATCTTCATCTATTCGCAAGATCTGAAGAAGGCAGGTATGTTTTTCAACTTTCGACAATGTTTTATGAATTCGAGGGCCCGCTCACTTTACTCTTCTCCGCCAGATGGTCAGTCGTTGATGATGTGCTGGTTCTTCTAAAGAAGTAAATTTTGCTGAAATCGACTTGAATTGTTCATCCTACTTCGTCTATCCTTCGAGATTTCCTTGTCATAAATTTGGCTTTTATTAATTTGAGGAACCATCTTTTAAGCTCAATTTGTAAACAGAGTAATTGGGGAGTTTATGATGCACTTTAAAAAGCCTAAAAAGCAACAATAAATGCTTTTTGCTCTAATGCAAAACCTATTGGTTTTATGGTTGCTTTTATAATGATAGAACACGTTTATAAAGTATTTAATCAAGCCATTAATAAACAATTGCTAATAACGTTTATGCTTGAATTACAGAACAGTTTTAAGGAGGGATTGAGAACTGTTTTAAATTTATTTTTAAAAAAAGACAGTTTTTGACTTTCTTGCCAGACTATAAAAGGTTTTTAAAACAGCAAAATGCTGAATTACTAAGCAGGAATGTGTTACACTTCGAAATGCTGTATTTATACTAAATGGTTTGTTTATTGCCGTTATAAAACCATCATAAATCAGAGTGCATGCCAAATGGTTACTGAATTGTTACTTGAGTAATAGACTTTTTTGACGTTTAATCATCTTTCTCTATCTAGCACACATGAATGGACGGTTTGTTTTCCCACTAATCTGTTTCTCTCTTGCTCGCACTCGTTCGCTTTAAATGGCACAGTAGTGTGCGCCGATTAAACGTCAAAAAGCTCAATACATTGCTTTTTTCTGTCAAGCCGGATGGCAAATAAAGTCTATTGGGCGAGTGCTCACGTATGTATGTAATGCGAAATACTTTAATAGAAGGAATTTATATGTGCGTTTACTGAATCTCTCTTTGTCTTACTGAAAAAAATTCTATCATATAGACAATTGTAAAACGATCAAATTATACACTTTTTACCTGCAATTCTCATTGTACCCGATTGTGTTCAAATAAAAATTCCGGCAAACTTCCATACGCTCGATGTTAGCAACCATTAAATACATAGCTTTTTAGCTTCTTCCGCTTCTCCAGAATGAAATGGTCTTTAACTCGTCGTTTCAATGGAGCCAACTGCACTGTTTCTCTAAAAAAAAACTCAGCCTGGCCAGAAGAATCCAAATCCCAGCATCGACCATGAATTTGAGTCCTGTCGTCCTTACCAATGTTTTTTTCACGCATCCTTTCCTACAACATTTTTGCAATCCGTTTTCCCATTTTTTATAGATAGGACTAACTTGTGGTTAGCGGCAGGGCAATTAAATTGAACTTCTCGATTATTTTTTCGAAGAGACGTATCAGCTTTTGTAAACAATGCATTTGATCGTCGGTTTGGCGTAGCTGCTAGCTCGCCCACGCATGCTGACACTATCATATGACATGTGAAATTTTCCCTTACCTGTTAGAGGTGTTAATATGCGTGGACGAGCTACCAGTTACGCCAAACCGATGATCAAATGCATTGTTTACAAAAGCTGATAAGTTCGTTCGAAAAAGTAATCGAGATTTGTTTAACTGGTACCCCTAACAGGGTAATGGCAAATGGGTACCAGTTAAACACATTCTAAATGGGCGCCGTTTAATTGCCATTTTAGCTATTCATACTAACGGGGTTCTACGGTTTCTACTAGAAGGGTTTAGTATAAGAGAGGAGCGGACTGGCTGCTTTTGAGCCAAACGAACTGTCAAGCCAGAGCAAATCGAGCAACGCCTATCTTGATGGCATTTGCAGTGTTGCTAGAAACCACATAGGCATAGGTTGCCAAGGCAGTTTGTTTTGAATCCGCTCCTCTCTTACACTAGACCCTCTCTAGTTTTTACCATTCACTCTGAAAAATCGTCACATCCGATTTTCACGTAACTTTTACCGGAATTGCACGTAGTCGAACAAAATTAAGCTTCGTTTATCTACGTAATTATTTAGGTAAATAAGACCTGACGTACTGCTTACGTGAAATCGGGGTGAAAACTACTAGAAAACTGGTAACTTTTACGTGATACTCCGTTTTGTTTATAATGCGTTTCACGTAATTTGTACGAGAATTTTGAATGAGAATAATGGAACTTATATGTAGAAGCAGTGAATATTATGAAATTTAATCGGGCATACCTAAATTCCACATGTTTAAATTAATACTTATATCTACTCATAAAATTGCAAATTATTGACTACTTCAAGATCTAAACTCCTTGACGATTTGGAGAACTTTTGATATCACGTTTCTCCTGCTGTGGTCACTTTGTTTTACATTTGTTTATTTCGAAACGCTTTAATCAGTAATTGAGCCAATAACATTTAACTTCATCCAATATTTCATGTTTGCAGTTTTTGGGATATTTATTTATACAAATAAGCACCAAGGAAGTGGATCATATCAAACGGGAACTTGGTGTTTGCATCTGTCTTCTGAAGCACATTTGTGGACCAAACATATACATGTAAGTAGTCATTGCGATAGCTTCTGATAGGCTTCTATAACAATTAAATAATTAATTTTCCGATTTATATTTGACAGAATCAAAAACAACATTAAAAAATCGCAACTTCTATCTAGTTTGATCAGCACTTATCGGCAAATGTATCTGGGAAACCAGGGAATCCTAGTGGAAGCTATCGAGCAACTCCTCGTCAATGCCGATGTGAAGAATACCGTAGTGTCGTCCCTGCAGGCTGCTACAGAAAAGCTCAAACAGGATCCACACTCGCAACGAAGTCATTCCATAATGTTCGTTGGCAATAAGTTCCTTTCACTGTACAGCAGCCGACAGGCTCAGGAGCTATCCCCCGCCGATATGCTGTTTCTGAACATCTTCTGTCAAACCCTGGATCGCGGAGAGCACTCCAAACGCATTGAATCGCACGTGGTATTCCTTCAGGGATGCTCTAATCAGACGACCTCCGGATGTATTCCGCACATCGTGCATGTTTGCAAGCTGTTTGATGACGTATTTTTGGTTTTGTTGATCGAACATGGTAATATTGCTTTGTCGGGAAACTTGTACGACGTGTTTTTTGCCCTACATAAACTGCAAAATATCCAAATGCAAATGGATGTCGATAATCTAAGATCCGCGTTCGATAGTTTGGAAACGTATGTGAAACATACGATGGATTCTTTGAAGAAAATCAAACACAACAGTCCTGAAGCAGATGAGGCTGTCAGAGTTTTATCCTTGAAGTGGGATAATCTCCGCAAACGATACGCAGAATACTTCAAAGCAGCCGACAGCGCTCTACTGGTGAAAGTCGAAAGCAATATGCCGATGTTTGTGGAAGCGGTGAAGGAAGTTTTCAAGCTGCTCTGCGCAGAGTGCAGTACCCTGGAGCACGGATTGCAACGGGTTACCGATATAGCCGATATGGTCCAGGAGAAGCTGACGGAGGTGTTCAACTTTCTGCAAATCAAATCGCAGAAGAACTTCTGCATGGGATCATATCCTTTTCTGAAAGGTTTTGTTTTATGTTTGAATCATAACTGTAGCGATAATTACTATTGAGTTTTCCTTAACATACGGTCATATACATATTTAGAAGATTTTCCAGGCCTGGTACATTTTATACACATAGACAGAAATAATGGAAGGATCGTGGCTCCTGGACTAGACATGGAAGAAGCTACAAACGTGCTCAAAGAAAGGGTAAGTAAAATAAACGAACAGAAAGAAAACCATGTACAGGGTGAGGTTCAGGTTTGGAAAATCATTTACATTAATTTTATGCATTCATTTACATTCATTTCCCTCTAACTTTTCTAGCTACAACTTTCAAATTTGTATTTCTTATGCATGAAGATCTAGAGCGGGCAGAACATGTGTTCTATTCACTCTGATTCATCCTGCATAAGAGATATAGGTTCGAGTTCGTTGTAAAATTTGTAGTTAATATTAAAACCTACAAAATCCTCATACACCTCTTTACGGAATTCTATTGATGAAGGCAAATGAATGTAAATGAATAATAGGAATGAATGTAAATGATTTTCCATGCCTGGTGAGGCTATTTAAGTAACTCACAATCAGGGCTGTCATCTGATCACTCAATGCGCGCAATGTACTGATTTTCTGAAATAAACAAAGTGAGAATCAAGCAAACACAAAGTTTGCTTCACTTTCACCCTGCCAAAGTGTAAAGCAGCGGAGAAGAGAAGACAGACACATACCCAGAAATAACGAAAGCTCAATGTGTAGCCATCGCTCCGAAGGCGTCCGAGCGTCACTCAGTGTAGGGTTGCAAATAGGAAACCTAGCAAAAAGACAAAATTATTCTTCGTTATGCCCTTCTTCATCTCCTATGCATGCAGTCGTGGTAAGCAAAGTCTGCAAAGAATTCAAAGAAGACATTAGCGCTTGTTGTATTATATTCGCTCCCTGCGCCGCACGGAGTGTACCCCTCATTGTGCGGATCGCTTTCTCACACATTAGTTGGAAAAGAGTGTCCGAAGTAAATGAGAGAACTACACACTCTTTGTCGAGTGTTGTGAGATGCATACACAAAGTTGCTTTGCCAACGCTGTGAGGTGCATTCCAGCCCTACTCACAATAAAACCAACCGGTCAACACTCGGTCTCCATAGAATCATCACTCATCGTTTAAGACATGTTAAGCACTCACATTGGTGGAAAACTGACAGCACAGCGAACAAAAAACAATTGATAAGTTGTTAATCGAGTAATTAAAAAATGGGACACCTCTGATTTTGGGTGTGATTGTTTTGGTTAAAAAAGCGCAAAATTTCAACTCTATCGAGAGGGCAGCATAACCACAAAACACCTTGCATACGGGGGGGTCTTGATTGGATCAAAGGGACCGTGAAAGAGGACACTTAAAGAGAATGTTTCTTCTCCTGACTGTTTTATCTTAATATTGTTTTTTGATAAAACGGTCAATGCTTTCAAAGAAGGATGTATTTATCTTAAGCTCTTACTATTCAGAAGTTAGGAAAAGGGACAAAGATGAATATTTCGACAGCTATTTTAAATTGTATTACAATTTTCTATTTTTTCTATGTTAAAAACGACAAATCATTTTTTTAATCCTGCGGGTTAAAATTACTTAGTAATACTTTAAAAATAAAATTAGCAAATCAAAACCATTATTTTTTTTGTTTTTGCAAGATGTTTTCAAATTTGGTTTGTTTCGACCACATAAAATAACATTTTAATGATCCTCTTGTCTTTATATTTACGTCATCTCTCAAGAATCGATGAATTTACGCGAAACTGCACCAGTGTATGCGACACCTAGGTTTGAAATCCAAAACCACAAAAGCGATGATGTACTAAAAAATATTCCATACGATTTGACAGGTAGCGAAACGTCATTATCATTTTCACATCATTTCCATCTGCTGGTCGACCGTCACGTAAATTTATCAATAAGAAAATTCCAATAAAATAGGATATGTACTAAAATTACTCAAGATTACCTTGTTATCTTGAATACCAAGTTAATTGCCTGGTTTGAAAATAACATTAATCGGCATTCCTACACTAACCTGAAACAATTACAGCTAAACCTACCCACCATTGCGCTGCGCTTAATCTGACACCTGTCATTTGTCCGATATTGCACAGTTGGTAATTTGGACACAAAACCCACTTGTGCCTTGATGACGAATGTGAATGATTTGGAAATGAGGTTATCTTAAAAATTGTGGAAGAAAACATTCTGGTGCACACAACATTGTGAATGCCGAGATTTGCACCACTGAGCTGCAGATAAATGACTTTTACAGAGATGAGATCTCAGCCAAAGTGACGTTTGCTGAATTCTGGAAATTGTTTATCTACTTTACCGCACTGGTTGATGTGGTATGTGTTCTGCTAAATTATATAGAGTTACAGTTTCAATAACCAATCTCAAACGCACCATAAATCATTGGATTATTGTTACCGATTCGTAAAATCAGTTATCGTCTGAACTAATTTCAGCCAGACTAACTAAAAAAACACAGTCAATCTGAGTAGCTACGCATTTTTCCTAGCTTTACGGAACATGTCGTCATAACATGTCGGATAACTTAAAAAGGCTTTGAGCATTGACACAGAGAAAAGGAATCACATCGCTCAGTTGAATATGAAGTCTAACCCTAGATATGATGATTCAAAGTAGGCTATATTTTGAAAACATAATATCCAATGAAATAATTTAAAGTTAGTTTCGAATGAAGTTGCTGCTTTTATTTTTGAATGATTTTTTTTTTCTTTTCAAAATGCTGTTTTGGTATTGATGCGTTCCTTATTTCCTAAAATAGCTTCATGTTGTCGACATAAGGCTTGTTTCAGAAGTTGTGACAGACCATGTATTATTGGTACAGTTTAAAACCGGAAAAACTCACTAACGACGACTCTTGTTCTGTACGTTATATAGGATGTCCCAGAAAGTATAAGCACACTTTTAACTCACCGCCATTTCTGCTCCGATGTTCATCGATGTGTGTTGTTGTTTACTTATTTCTCAACAAGTTTGTGTGCGAAAAGTGCATTTTTTTTAAACAAAATCATCAAAAGGCGAGGCATTTCCCCGGAAAAGCGCAAACAGATCATGAACAAATAGTATACTATTCCCAACCTATCACTAAGGATGTTAGACCGCCACCCGAAAGTTCGGTGAAGAAGTTATTTTCGAGAACACACCGAAATCTGGCCGTAAACCGGGACCAGTGGACCGAAAACTGAACCGGAAGATCTCCCAAGCTTTCGTCAATAAGTGTCTCTGTTCGAGATTTGGCCAAACACCTGAGTAACGTCCAAGAGTAACGTCAAACGTGCCAAGGCAAGAAACGGGCTGAACACGTTCAAGAAGCAGAAGAAGCCGAAGAAACCGAAACGGAGTCAGAAACAAGCCGCATCCGTCAAATCGTGTGTGTTATCATGGACGATGAAACATACGTCAAATTTAACTACAGGACGCTTCCCGGAAACCAATACTACAAAGTTCGTGATGGTCAGAAAATTGACGATGCGGATAAGTCAATTTTTACCGAAACATTTGGTAAAGAAGGCCATGGTTTGGCAATCGATATGTGAGAGTGGCAATTGACAACTTTGTGACGAAGGAGACGATGAACACTGAAATTTACGTTCATGAGTGTTTGAATCGGCGTCTGCGGCTCATGATCCGTCAACATGATGGCCCAGTGCCAAAAGAGATGAATCCTCCGAATTGTCCGGAGGCCCGGCCAATCGAAACTTTATGGGCCCTGTTGGGGAACTGGATGATTGGCTCCTTCGACTGGGTGGATCCTCAACACTCGGCCTCTTCGAATGAGTTAAGGGCAGTAATCCATAGGTTCTTCCGTAAAATCACTACACTCGCGGCTTAATTAAAACACTCTATTTAACAAATGCTAACTTAACCTATTTGCTTCTAAAATACCACTGGTCATCCACAGACCAACGATCGATGATGTGCGGGGCCAGCCGTTGGGACAGGGCTCTCTCTCTTAAGACTGGCTCAACTCCCACGAGCATATTCACCACTGCGTTTAGAATACGCAGTGACTCCTACAATCTCCCTTACAGCCTAGCATCTCACTCCGTATCGGCTACTCTTATTGTAGGTAGATACGAGGGGTTGTTGTTTATCATTTCAGTCTTCCTACTAGTTTCTGCTCTGACTTGTCTACTGGATGGATGATCGGCAGAACAATAGGAAGCGGTCGCAGTTATATCCAATGGACATCAGGGTTGTAGTTTAAAGGGAGCGGAGATGTCACTCCTCAACAGGCCCTTTCAAAGGGATATCTACAGCAAATCTTTAAGGCAGCGAATTCAATCGAAGAATTTGGAAAAGACTGGAGAAAATGGTCAAAATTATCGCCAAGGGATATGTGCAGAAGCTCTTGGGCAGGGTCAGATCAAAAGTTTGCTCCTTGGCATAATATTGAAGATCGTTTTTTTTTTGGCAAGGAGGAAACCTTCATCGTTTCATCCATTGTTTTTGGCCATCGTGCCACCGCTTGACGACTGGGCGCACAGTCGCGGTGACACGGTATGTGGGATTCTTACCGCACTAAAACCTCCTGGGACGCCTTGCCCTTTTCCCCCGGAACCACTTGTCGTATTACCAACAATCAATACGAAACTAACAATTTTAAATTGGCTCACTATTTGACTAGCCTATTGGTCCCAAGCAAACGATTAACGTACCCCATTCTAGTCGAAATTCTACTACTACACAATGTTTGTTTTGATTCGCTATGAAATTTTGACATATAAAATAAGGGATAAGTGGATTTTCCTATGTTTCGAGGGGTGAATCGATTAGCTTTCGACCGAAGATAGTACCAGAGCTGAGCCTAAAAGTTGAGCACGTCAATTCGGGACCTTCTAGTCTTAGAGTTACCTCTATGGTATTACTTCGGAGGGGGGCGTGCATTACGCACCTCACTTTACCTCAGCTAATTGGCGCTTCCAGTTGCTGATCGTCTCTCCAATTTGTGAGCCATTTAGCTCCCAGCGTCACGGTTATCCCCGGTGGTGTATTCAGCCTACTCTGACGGAGAGTTCTCCCGGCTTCGGCTTTCAGTTCGCACTACATTACTACTTTCTAGTTGGTCTTCTCGCCATTTTCGCTGCAGCGCTGACATGATCTGCGTTACTGCTCTGCTGACGGTGTTAAAGGTGCCCTCCTCTCGACACATTTCTTCGACGACATTCTCCGTGCTAAGGGCGAGCATATCCTCTCGCACAGCATCAAATCTAGGACATTCGAAGACCACATGCTCTGGTGATTCTTCTACATTCACACACTCCGGACAGAAGGGTGACGTTGTGTGTCCGAACCGATGCAGGTACTTCCTGAAGCAGCCATGACCAGACAAGAACTGCGTCAAGTGGAAGTTGACTTCTCCATGCTTCCTGTTCACCCAGGTCCAAAGAATCGGTATTAGTCTGTGTGCACATCTACCGTTCTCTACTGCATCCCACTCCTGCTGCCACTTAGCCATCGACACCGTTCTCACCATTATTCGTACTCCTCTGGTTTTTCTCGTCATATAGCACCCGTAGTCCTCGGCCAAGGTGATGCCGATTGGGATCATACCGGCGATAACGCATACTGCCTCCATCGAAATGGTTCTGTACGCACTCACGACTCGCATGGCCAGGAGCCGGAACGTACTGCTCAATTTCCTTTGGTTCTGCTTCGTTTTCAGCGCTTCAATCCAGGCTGGACCTCCGTACCTTAGTATCGATGAGGACACACTAGCCAAAAGACGCCTCTTGCTGCTGATTGGACCAGAATTGTTCGGCATGATTCTGGCTATTGCGTTGATGATCTTCGCGGCCTTCTCGCAAGCATATTCGATGTGGCTGTTAAAGCTTAGCCGGTCGTCGATCATCACTCCCAGATATTTCAGCACGCGCTTCGAAACAATGGTGTGCTCTCCAACGGTGATTTCTGCCCGCTGCACTGCTTTGCAGTTACTGACCAACATCACTTCTGTTTTGTGGTGGGCTATCTGCAGCTTCGCTCCTTGCATCCAGTTACCAATCGTATCTATCGCCTCGGTTGCCAGCATTTCCACTTCTTCCAGCGTCTCACCGGTTACCGTCAAGACGACATCGTCCGCAAAGCCAACGATCTCAACTCCTTTGGGAAGCTTGAGCGTCAGCACGCCATTGTACATTCCGTTCCACAGCGTGGGACCTAGAATGGAGCCTTGTAGGACTTTCGCCGTGATTCTAAGCGATTTCTGCCCCGTGTCTGTCGCGTAGACCAGGACCCGGTTCTGGAAGTAACTACTTAGAATCCTGCAGAGGTAGTCTGGAACCCTTATTCTATCCAGCTTTCCACGCTCGGTAATGGCGTCCAGTATGGTATCAATAAATGTGTCATTCACTGTGGTTTTGACATTAACTGGAGGTTCGCATTGTCACCCCTCTCTTTCCCACTCCAAGGAACAGAGGAAAATGGAACAACATGCGCCCTCCAGTTAGTGTCAAAAACCACAGTGAAGGATATATTTATTCATACCTACAGGACGCCATTGCCGAGTGTGGAAAGCTGGATAGAGTGCCTTGGCGATGGCCTCCCAGCTGGCGCTATTGAATGCATTCTTCACAACAATCGTAATCACGGCGCAGTATCGATTTCCTCTCCGCTTCTGTTTGGAAGCTTTCTTGGCTCTGTCAATAACTGTCCGAATTGCATCCACCGTCGATCTCCCGTTCCGGATTCCAAACTGCCTCTCCGACAATCCGTGTTCACTCTCCGTGCATTTCGTTAGCCTGTTCAGGATGATCCTCTCCAAGAGCTTTCCGACAGTATCCAGCAAGCATATTGGCCTATACGATGCAGGATCCCCCGGCGGTTTTCCGGGCTTCGGCAACAGCACAAGCTTTTGTACCTTCCACCTATTAGGGAACTGACCCTCGTCCAGACATTTCTGCTGCACCATCCTGAACATGTCCGGGAACGTCTTGATTGCCGCCTTCAACGCCACGTTGGGAATTCCATCCGAGCTTTATTCGCCTTCAACCCTTTCGCTGCTATGAGTTCCTTGTTGGAGACTTGTTCAACGTTGTCTTCATCTTCCTCGCCAAAGATTAAAGGTCTGGCGAACACATATCGTAGTCGCCCCTCGGTGTCAATTTGGTAAACAAAGCAAATGTGCATGAGCTATGCCCGACTATCTTGTGACGACAGTACCTAGTTGTTCGTTTTTTCGTTTCTCATAGGCAGTTGAAATGCGATGTTACGCGAAGTTTTGCAGCTACACTGTCAACAGGAAAGATAAAAACTGTTTAAATAGTTCTTTGCGCTGAACAAACATTTCTCAGATTATATACAATTTGTGAAAGATGAAAAAGCTAATGTTCTCGATACTTTTCAAAGTTCCTGAATACCATGATATTCAATCTAAGCTTATCAATTAATTATTTTCATATCGTTTGAAAAACATGCAGAAGTTAAAAAGTAAGAAAAGATGATTCAATAGCAAATCTGTGATGATGTAAGATTTTTCCAGTTGATAATTTTGTTTGTTTTGATTAGATAATTGATAAGCACTAAATAATAAATAAAACCCAGAAAATACGCATTTCTCTCATAATCATGAAGTTATTTCCATCAAAAATAACGATTGATTTTTCACACAGATTTCAATGCCTCCTAACCGTTTCCTTCTTAAAGTAACCGTAAAAACTGGTTCGATTTGACAGTTCAAATTGGTTCGATAATCATTACGTCTTCGTCAGACCTAGATTATACATAGTGTCGGAAGTAGTGTACTGTATTCGCACATTGATGCGCTATACAGCGCACTACTTTCGATACTATGTATAACGCACAGAACGAGATTAAAATCGAATGCACTAGTGGGGTTTTTCGGTTTCCAACTGTACCGAAAATATTAGGTATAGAAAACAATAAAATATCAAAAATATACCACGTCATTTATGGATGATCCCTAAGTGTATACAGCTTTTTAATATAAATTAAATGAAGAGGTTCGTTAAAAGTATGCAGTGAAAACCATATTCTAATGCATTTTTTATTTCAAGTTACAAGTGTCCATCATCACAGTGTACGTCTTTACCGACTTTGTAAACACTTTGTGCCAATCAGACGTTGTAGTTTAATTTTATACCTGAGCCTGACCTAACCTAAGGAATGAGCATATAGTTAGGAACAGATGATTTTGATACTGATGACGTCTGTACATTCTAGACGAAATACGGGTATCTTTCATCAAAACAAACCTAACTAAGTGGAATTAAGTTCTAAAGACAAGCTATTTTTACTTGCAACTTACGAACCTTCAATTGTGTTCACCTCATCCCTGATAATCTCTCCTATCCCATACAATTCATGATGCTCGTAGCTGACAATCCGGCGTCAGTTACAATTGTTATTTAATTGTGAACATGAAAATCATCAAGTCAACAACAATCAGAATGCATTCACAGCAAAGAAACATACGTTTGCAACACGTGCCTTTCCATTAGGCTCGAGTAATAAGAGGGAAATTATCAACACTTGATACACTCTCTTGGGCGTCAAGAGGGCATCGCGTGAGAGTGACCCTACTTGGCACAACATCCACAGCATTATTGATGTGCTTCTTTTCCGTGTTGTATTATTCATCCAGTGGGTAAATCCGGAATCTTATCACTTTCTAGGGTGAATAAATCGCACACTTGTGGTTCGATTGCGAGCGACGACCCAAAATTTTTCTATTTTCATCAACCTTGTGCCTTTCCAGATTTGGTCCATGGTAGAACTTTCGCGAACCTATCTACACAAAGGTCACATGTCGATGATCTGGAAGGACGTTACATTCAGCTATGGTTATTTCCTATGGTTCGAGGACGCCAATGGGACTGCTTTGAAGCCGAAAGAATTCCCAGATTTTTCTGCAATATCGACGAAACCGCAACTGATTGCCGGAATTCTATCGGGAGACTACTATCAGTAAGTGTATTTTGAGTTTTATTTAATCCACAATCGGTTTTTGGTTTTGCCGGAATTTTGATTATCGTAACATTTAATTGTGCCTTTGTTTTGTTCTGTAGGCGCATGATAGAAACATGCTTTCCGAGGACTCAAGCTAGTAAGATTCGCTGCTACGAGCTATATTGCGTTCATCTGGGATTGGTTACACCAACGAATGTGCTGGAGCACTGCAGACGGCTAGCTGTTACGATTACCGATCTTACAGGGTGCGTTGGGAATCCGATAGATTTGTTGTAAATCTCTTGTCATGCCCTTTTCTACATTTCGATCATGCCTATCTAATTTTCCTTACCAACACTTTTTGTATGGAAAATTCATATCGAACGAAATGCAGAATCGGGATGCGTAGGTATAGGTAGGGGAAATAACTCTAATGTTGGCCTATGGATCTAAGATTGGGCCCATCGCTAAAATCTGCTGGGTTAGGCAAAAATGTGCGTCTATCTTGAAAAACTGTCGCATTAATGGCCCTTCGCTCATTTTCAACTTCTATTCAATTTTCATACTGCCGTACTCTAACGGAACTATCCACCTACCCTCTTCTAAAAAGATCATTCTCTAGCTAATAAATCATCACACTAAAGCTTCATGTTAGCATTTCCAACCAACTCTGAAAATCGTTAACTTCGCGTATGAAGTAACAAAAAAAAAAACACTTTGAATGCTATTTATCAATTTTATCTAGATGAACGCGTTATTGGGACGATACTAATGGATATTTTTGGTCGCTATTGAAAATTTAGTCGATTGCTGAATTACCATTATATATGGGCCCAAATTAGGGGCATTTAGGCCGACATTACATTAATTTCCCCTTTATAGTTTATAGGCAACTGCATAGTGAATCCGGAAGTTTTCAGCTAATTGGTTTTGATATCTCGATCAGAATTTATGCGTGTAATTAATATTAACTCATACTGATGTGATATAGTGGGATCCATTGATACAGTTCATTTTGAAGAAACCACATTTTAAAGAATTCACCTATTGGTGACCATAAGAATAATGTTGGCTGTATTATTGATAACTAACAGGACGATTTATTAAAAGGTGTTATGCCGCCAAGATGTTTTTTTTATAAACTCACAAGATTGCAATGCATTGCATCGTGGAAAATTTAATGAAATCAGGTTTGGAATGTTTAAAAAAGTTCATTGATCCATGTTGTCTTTTTTGCACTTCATTTACCCCCGGATTGATTTCACTTCATTTCTTTCTTATGTGTCGATAAGATTAAGATTTCGGGTCATTTGGTCGAATGTCAATTGACCGAATGGGTCATTTGACCGAATAATGATAATTTTGAAAAAAACTTCTCATGAGTAAAAGAATGAAAAATCTGCAATTATATTTTGTATTAAGAGATAGATGGTCAAATTCTTAAAATTATTAAATTCAAATTTTCCGAACGGGATAAGTTTTTTATTAAAATTAGAATTTTTATTAAAATTTGAAAAAAAAAACTTCTCATGGTAAAAAGAAGGAACCAATCTCCTAAAAGAATTACTTTTAATAATAACTTTTGAATCTTTCTTCTCACAATTTCCAACTTCATTCGCATTATCAAAATTCGGGAAAATTGCCCATGTTTATAAGATGGAAACATCTCCTAAGAATATTAATTTCTGATTTCTCATTATTTTCTTAATGCTGTCCTTCACCACTTGTCGTTCAATTTGCACTCTAGCTGGAGGAACTTGAACTACTAAATTGAAAATTTCCTTAAAGAGGTGTAGAAATTTCAGCAGAAATAGAACAGACTGTAATGCAAAAAAGGAACACCATGTTTATGAGTCGTTAATCACCAGTACAATACAATACATCATTTTGAAAATTTTACAAACTTCAGAGTCCCGGTAAACTTAAGAACTGTGAAAAGTCAAGGATCTTGAAAAAGGGCTTTTAATAAAGGGTGTCCACAGTAAAATTGCATCAATTAGAAGTACTCGCCAAAAATAAGTCTCTCAACCGTCATGCAATTTTCAGGGAATGTAATACTATACATAAGCTTGGTATACGTATTTTTATTTCACTCTATTTCTCCACCAAATCCAAATGCCCGAGCTTTCTTCTTAATTCCACCCATTCGGTTTTGTACAACGGTTGAATAAACATTTTTTCTGCTTTCAACCATGATTTCAACATTTCCTGCTCCGTAGTGACAACTTTAGGATGCTTACGGAGTTCCCCAAGGAACAATTCAAGCTGAACAGTAAGAACAGAAGCTGATTATTGGTTAAGGTGTACAAAGCTGATTAACAGCAGGCTGAATATATAGTTGATTAGTAGTGCGTGAAGCTAACTTTTTCCCATATTTCAACCTCAATAAGTTAGCTGATCTAAAGATTGAACAAGCCTTATTTTAGCTTAACACTACTTCACAAATCAGCAATGCACTTCAAATATTTTGATAGCCTGATTTGTTAAATGTAGTCACAGTCACTCGTTGCATTTCCGGCATTTTAGTTCTTCTAAATTTACTGCCTACCTTTCTAATCCCAAGCAGCAGCAGCAGCAGCAGTAGAGACAAGGTAGAAGAGCTTTTTAGGAATAGCTCCAGGTGGTATTATTATTTATTTTGTACTGAATTTTCAGACAGAATTCCAAAAATATAACTCAATTATGGTGCTAAAACAGCTTCCACATGACGATCTAAATAAATTGCGCACTTGTGTCCACATTGTGTTAACTACACTTGAAAATGAGAGGAATTTTTTACTGTCACCAGTTGTTGTTTACAATTCTGCATTGCTGTATAATACTCTTCCGGTTGCTGTTATTCAACTTAAATTTGACATGTTTCAAGTTAATGATCATACCTTTTGCCACACATATGCTTAAGTGGTCCAGTATGTATGATTGATGCCTGGAATCAGCGACTGCCGGTTCGAATCCCGAAATGCAAAGGTAATTTTTAGATAACAATATAAATATGTAAATCCAATTAGTTAGTCAGCACCTTGTTGCAGTCCCATAAAAATATATAAGATATGGAGCGGTCTTCAATTATTTTGTTTCTAAATAAAACTAGAAGGCTGAATAAGGGTTCGAAAAGACTGTTATTTAATGCCTCAAAAAGCTTATAATTTATATAACTTACCACCAAATTTAGATGTTTAAAAGCTGAACAAAGGTTAATGTGGTCTATGTGCAACAATTATTCAAACTAAGGCTGAACTAAAATCGATTGAACAACACTTGTTAAGCATCAAATTGTTACCTGGGTCGTGCTTCATTATAGCCCAGTATTTTTAGACCAGCCGCAACTACGGTGTGAGATCCTTCGGCACGAAATTGATCACATTCGTCTTGTTTCACTCCAGAACGTCCTTGGAGTAGTTACAAGAGGCTAGATCCGGCCAAAAAAAATGTAGGAACGTTGTGTGATTTGAGTAACGGAAGCAGTCATTTCTTCAGGCACTCATTCATGTAGACATGACCATTTACTGTTGTAGTCTTTACGATTGGCTTGCACCGTTTTCTTCACGAACAAATCGCTTGCTAAATCAAGAATTTCGTGGGGAACTTCGACACTTGCTATTTCCTGAGGGACTCTGAAACATCGAACTTGTCTTTCGCAGTCACATAGGGTAGAGCGCTACTTCGTCGTAATCGCCCATTTTCGTTCTATCAATCAGAAAAGATCAATAATATCAATGATTTCACCATGCACAAATCAATAATAGGTTTGTTCCGATGCGTCAGTTCATTAGCTACAACATAAATCCTATTAGAGCGCATTGTATGAATATTTACGCTCATTGTTCTCAAAACAAAAGAGGCGTTCCTGACGAATCAACTTTTTCTACGTTTATCCGTTGGACGAAGAAAATCTAATGGCGTTTTAATGCGTTAGGACGGAATTGAAACTCGTAGGACAAATTTAGAATCAAGAGGCAGTGTTAGATTTTTAATAATATCTCAAAATTGTTTGACTCTTTATCAAATTCAACGGTACGGTGAATAAATTCGGAAGTTATCTTTGACAGAAATGTTCCATTTTTTGTTCAAAAAAGAGAGGTAAAGTGCGGGTTGGGCATAGTAGGACGGAAATTAGATCAAAAATCCTACTGGTTTCCCGGAATTTGCATTTACGTTTCATCGTCCATGATACAGCAGTGTTGTTTTGTCAACATTTGAGTGTACAGCTTACGTGCCCACATTCTAGATGTCCTGTTCTGTCGTTCATTGCGGTTGGGTTTACGTTTGAAGGCAGCAACCATTCGTTTGCGATCTTCAACGCAGTACGGAACACTTTTTTTTTTGCACTCACTTGCTGCCGATCGACGGTTAAACGATCTCCGAAACACGAGAAACAGTAGATTGTTGGATTCCCAACATCTTTCCGATGGTTCAGTGCGAAAGATGTGGGTTGTTGAGGTGAGTGTGCAAAATTTCATCAAACTTCATTTTCAAAACTACTAGAAATTTAACAATGAAACTCACGCATTGTGAACAATACACGCCCAGGCCATCTCACCCAAAATTTCATTAAAGTTAACCCAAAGAGGAAAAATGTTACAGCTTTTTTAAAGTGATGCAATTTAACTGTGGACACCCTTTAGTCTCCTTTGCTTAAAAAGAACGCATTTAAATTGATGTTCACTGCCTTGAGCTGGAGACAAAGAGAGGAAAGCGGTTGAGACAAATGGTCGAAAAGACATAAGATCGAATGGACAAAAGGTAGAATTATGAGAAGGGGGTCAAAAGGTCGAATGTACAAAAGATCGAATGATGCGAAAGGGGACAAAAGGTCTAATGGTTAAAAGGTCGAATGGACAATACTTTTAATAGACAAATGGTCAAATCCTCACAGAGGGACAAAAGATCTAATGGCCCAAAGACGAACAAAAAGTCGAATGGACTAAACGTCGAACAGGTCCAATGATCCAAAGAGCTAGAAAAGGTCGAATGGACAAAAGGTCGTATAATTAGGGGGTAGACAGAAGGCTAATGGGCAAATGGACGGTTTTTATTTCGCATTCATGTTCTGTACAGTATTCTCTTACAGTTAAATGTAGAAAATCCGAGATCCGATCAGTCGTAAGCCAAGGAGCGCATTTTTGATCTCACGCTACTCATTAGCTTCAGCACAGATGCCTTTCCAACAATTTTGGATACTTTTTCCAGTCTTTCGCCAACTTTGTAACGGAATCCGCTGCATTTACATGTTTCCGCAAATATACTTTGGTCAGGGCCCAAAACGTTTCGATTGGCCTGGCCTGGGGACAGGTACAAATGGTACAAAAAGGACAGGTACAAATGGTACAAACAGGGAAAACCATATAATAATGTACACAGATATCTTAAGAAAATAGAAGAATATTATATTTCTTACGAACAAGCACAATTCTTTCGAATATTTTTTTTTATGGTTTATGACACTGGGTATTAATATTGTGATGAACTAACCCAGAAGCTCTGGT